GAGAAAACTGCATTTATCTTAGCCAATCAGAACTGAGAAATTTTTTTCATGTAATTAAATAAAAGTACTTTGCAGCAAAATCAGCAAGAGTGGTATTTTCAAGAGAGACAGGCCTTTGAACATATTTAGTAATTATAGGCTGCTAGAATTGACGTCTTCAATCACAGTAAATACTCATTTCATTCATCTTTTCCATTGGTTTTAGCAGCTGTACTCTAGCATTCAGTAACAAGTCTGTTACACTTTGTTTTCCTCCATTTTTACCAAAAATAAAGCTAGAGATGCCAAATCCCACCCCAGCTAAACAGTAATTTTGTCATTATTTGCTGTCCACCCTTGATCTTAACATCCTCCCTTGTTTTTGCTTACAGAGGGGGGCCTCCGGGTTTTTGGTTTCCCATAGGCCCCAATGCCCCCCTTCTTACAATTAGGGAGGACATTGGTTTCTAGTTATGCAATTAAATACTTTTTATTAATAATTTTAACGCCTCATTATGTCTATGATCAAGAAAATGTCACGTGGTTGTACGTCATGTACTCTTGAAGCTAAAAAAATTCACATGTTAGAGGTCAAAGGAACTCCCTTTAAAGTAATTTTCATTAGACTATATGTAATTATTGACAGTAACCAAGATTACAGAATGATCTGAAGTTTCCCTTCGTTTTGCTATGTGATTAGTTAGGAACACTTGCTCTGTCTTCTGAGTCAACCAATCAGCTGATTAAAAAAAAAAAAAACCCATTTGCCACCAATGCTCACTTGAGTTGTTCTCATGCTTCTGCAATTTGTTTGTTGTTGCATTGAGTTCTCACTAGCTCCTTCAGGATTTTTGTTTTGCTCTGGTTAGCAGTTGAGTGACAACTTTGGCTTTATCAAGATAATTTTGCAACACCAAAATAAAATTTCTGTGACTAATACAGCTAAATAATAAAAAAGACCAACAGCAAGTTACCTTTGATAACTTTCCCTTTAGCTTTGCCCAACTGGAACTCAAGTGGTTCTCTTCCTTTTGCTAGGGATGAGTCAAACATTTGTCCATTCTCCAGTGTACCCTACAAGAGTTCATTAAGAAAATAAGGAAATCCATACATTTGTGTAGCCACATCTCTCATATGAACTGAGATCAGGTTTGACAATTTCTGTTGTTGTTGTTTTAGCAGTTTGTTTGTTTGTTTTTTTTTTTTTCACAAGGCAGTCTTTTGAAGTGACGATGAAAAGGTATGAGGTAAGGATGGCAAAATCCATCCATTAATGACAGCTTGGCACGCAAATAAAATAATCACTCTAGTGATTATTTTATTTGTCCCTTGATATTTGAAGGTGATGGGTGAGAGACTTGGAAGTGATTGGGAAGGGACGTCACGTGGATTATATCAATTCTTAATAGCCAGGACCAGGACCAGGACCAGGACCGGATTTATTGTCAGTTCCTTTGCATTGCTTTGTTTTGTTTGTTTGTTTAGAGTCTATTTTTGTTTTGTTTGGTTTGCTTGTTTGTAAAAGGAAAAAGTGATAGGGAAAGAAAAGGAAGAGTACAGAACCCCTATCATCAAACCCTAAATTACCATTCACAATACTTAAATTCATTTTTCCTGCCCTCAAGTGCAAGAGACGGCAATAGGAAGAAAGGCATGTGGCGTAGTGTTCTAACTATACCCTTTTCTTGGCTCTCTTTGTGCTTTCAGGCTAAATGTCTTGTTCAACAAAACGACTGTCCCTCGCACAGAAGGCATTTTGGTTTTAATTCACCAACCATTCCCTCCTCCCTCAATATCCTCCAGTTTTTTTGGTTGAAACTTTTCCATCAAAAATGTAAGCATGTGAGAAAATCATCCATATAGCAATTTCTATTGACCTTTTTTAATTGAGAAGCAGACAATATAAATGTACATACTGTATAGTGAACAGACACAATGTCACCATCATATGCTTTGTATTCACAGGTAGCAGGATTGTACTGAAACAGAAAGATCATGCATATAGAATACTTCATGAAAAGACAGTCCATATGGTATTCACACACAAGTTGGTTGTATGGGATATTGAACGAGTGAGAGCAGCAAACAAAAGAGATTTCTGATACAAGCCAGCAAGTGCAGTCAGATCATGATGGTAGACATTTACCAGCCCTACTGGCAGCACCTAAAGTAAAATAACAAATGAAAATGCCAGACTTCTTCATAATTTTCTTAACATTTCTCAATCATCTCTTTTTTTTTGCTTTATTAACAGATAAGTATGGAAGCTTCCCTAATTTCACAAATTAAATAACTTTCTGTGTGTTACGGCAACTCACTGNGAACATATTTTCTTAATTGCTAAAATTTTGGTGGCCCAAGTGTACTACATTTTTTTTTAATTTTGAGAAAAAATTTAGTCTGCTGACTTTTTCCACCATTATTATATTTCTAATGAAAACTCTGAATGAGACTCAATTCAACAATATAAACAGTGTCGCGTAATTCAACTGCTTTTCTATTAAGCACAAATCATATTTGTTCTTGCTGGATATTAAAATTTAAATCTTACGCTTATTTTATTGGTACATGTAAGAATATGTTTCATTGTTACATTGTATGAGTTACACTGTATGTATCACTTGTAAACCAGTTGCACCTTTCTATCAAAGAACAATGACTTCCTAGATTTCTGCTAAGATCTGTGTTTTTCTGTCCTCACAAATAATATTTCATGCAAACTAGATTATCAAACCCAAGATATTAAAATCACTGCTGCCTGGAGACAAGATTTGTAATAAATCATTAATTTCCCAGCATTACTTTAAAACACCTGTCGTGACACTCCTACACAAATAGCCTATACTACAATTGTATTGTATTTGTTCAAAAACAGCAAAAAATATTCTTCAAAATCTAATTTTCCATTGTTTCTCAAAGAGAAACGCTCATAAAAACGTTATTTTGAGTAAGGATACAGCAAACATCGCGTAAAGGATAAAAAAAAAAAAAAAGGGGGAGATCGCGTGATATTATAGAATATTTGGCCGGCGCGAAGGATTAATCTGGCTCGGTCACATCACCGCAGAAATAACTGGAAAACACAGATTACAACTTACAGTCTGTATGCATGCCACGTTCAATGAGCTTTTAGAGTAGTTTTCTCGACTGCATAACAAAACTCGCGCAAGCAGGTATTCGCGACAAATTCCTTGAGTTTTCCCACAGATAATATTAGCTTTACAGACCCTATAGATGATGATTTTTTTTCGAAGACAAGATGAAATCCAACTTCGGGTCAAACCTCATAAAATTTCAGAAATTGGCATGATCTCAAAGAAATACATTATTACCTGTCATTTAAGCCCATGCATGTAGTTTTGTCCGAGGTTCACATACCTCAACAATTGTCTCTAGATCCTTTTTCTTCTTGGCTCCAAAGGCATACTCACATAAAAGGTAAAGGAAAAGACTACAGAATAGTAATCTTAAGTTGTTCTCCATTTGAGATCATTATCCAATTTACGTTATCTGTGAGTGTGGATAAATGTTGGCCGTGATCTAATCGTGGCAAAAAGAGGCAGGCAACTTTTCTGATTGGAACCTCGAGAAAACCTGGGAATGAATCTCAAGTCAATATGGTGGACGAAGGGAGTCTAGAAGAATTGGAGAAAAAGATTGACTCTCTATCGCATCCAGAAGTGATGGCTCTCTTCACTGAACAACTAGGAAAGATAATGGGAGGTACATTGCTTATTGGATTGCCAAACGAACCAACTTTCGATGAAGTGAACTTGTAGAGTGCACTGGAACATAGGGTGTCTCGAAACTTCAGACCTCGAAACGTCGACCTCTGACCTCAGACCTCGAAACTTCAGACCTCGAAACTTCAGACCCCTTGAAAAGTGATTGAGATTTATGTTTTAACGATCAACGCAGTTAAAAAAGAAAAGTGATTGAGATTTATTTTTTTTAACGTAGTCAATGAATATTAACGGCCTGTCCGCCCTAGCGACAAATTTTCTTTCATCACCGACGCTGCATAAGTGCGAATGGTTTCTCGCGACTTGACAGTTCCTCGAAGCCGACAAATTTTTAGACGCGCCGCCAACAAAATTTGTCCTGCGTAAACCTTGGCAAAATCGACAAATCATAAAC